CCCCAAAACCCCAAAACCCCAAAACCCCAAAACCCCTTGTAAGATTTGTTATATTGATTCATTTGAATAGAATAGATACAGCTGCTTATTTTAGGTGATGAAAGGAAAGTTTATAGTGAAAGTAAACAGCTCTTTAAAGAAGAAATCAAAGACTTGAAGAGTGCAGTTGTAACAAAAGTTAGTCAACTTCGTCATCGTATAAGACCAAGAACTCTACTCGCTCAGATGAATTTTTAAGGAAACACAAAAACAACTAGAACATTCTGAGACACTTGCTAGAGATCTTAAAAAGGATCTTGCGAATACTCAGCAAGATTGCAGCTACTACAATGTGTACCAGTCAGGTGTTGTTAAAGACATCATCTGAAATCTCACACAAGAAGTTAACCTTGCGACTTGTCTGACTCAGCTGAATCACACTCCTAAAGAGTATTTCAAAGGAATGAAAATATTGCTTGAACACATTCTGAGTAATATCCGTGCCAAGAATGAAGACATTGAGCGAGCACACGAGAGCATCCAGAAAATGTCAAGAGTCATCGAAAACAAAGAAGCTTCTTTATCAAACCTTGAGCGTGAGCTTGACAGGATCCAGCATAAAGAAATAGAACTGAATCGCAAAAATGAGGAGATATTTAAACAAGTTCTATCATCTCAAATCTATCAACAAAATCAAGACTTTCGGACAACAAAACAAATCCTTATCCCTACCCACCAATTCTCTCAACACTATCAAAAAATCCCTATACATACCAACCACACCCAAATCCTTCCCCTCTCCCTCCCTCTAAACCCCCAGACCCCCTATCCAAGCTCCATTCCCCACTAAAATCCCTTCTTCCTCCAAGCCCGTTCCTTCATCTCCTCCTTCACACCCCTAGTCTTTTACCCCAAAAGTCATCCGAATGTTAAACCTCAATCAGCTTAAGGAGGCTCTGGGCAGGTCTGTTCTTTTGGCAATTTTGGGTTAGATTTTAGATTTGGATTGACTGGGGTAATACTGTTGATTCCAAAAATAAATAGTTGCATCCGATTAGCAAAACTTTAAAGAATATCATCGCCAAGTAATAAATTAGAAGTTATACATTTCTTGCTTTGTCTGGTGGCTTGAGTAGATGTCGAATTTATTAAAGTTAACTTGAATAAATTAGCCTCTTCATATATTTCATTATCCTTATAACCAGTCTGTTTTGGAAATGAATTTCAAACAGGGTCTCTGTAAAGACTTTCTGTTGACTTTGTAATTTTAAAATTATGATGAGGTATTTCAAAACATACCCAAAAATATAGAGAAGATCTTGAACTTCAAGGAATAAGGATTATGACATCTATAGAGCAGCTAAACTCGGTTCTTGGTGTTAAATCCTCGAAATTCTCTTTAAAATTTAGCTGAATTTTCATCGACTTCTTAAGCTTATACCACTCGAACAGTAGTTTTCTCATGAGGCAAGTATTAACATACCTTAGCGACTGGGCTATTCATCATCCTTGAGTTGGGATTTCCCCTTCTGTTCAGATTATCTTCTACAGGATTTATGCTGTATCTTACTAGTTGGGGATAAAGAGTTTCGACTAGAGGTGCTTTCCATTTTGTTTTGATTCTTACGAGCTTATTATTAATTTTAGGAAATTGGGGTTTTGGGGTTTTGGGGTTTTGGGGTTTTGGG